GCTTTGGCAACACATTTTCAGAAGTAAAAGAGAATAAGGTATCATCATAAGTCATCATGAATATGGAAAGTCCACAGTAGCTTGGCTTTATTTAAAAATTTTAGATCATTTGGTGATAAAGCAATGCGGCGAAAAGAAGAAACTACACATCTACCGAAAGACATGACTTGCCACCGAGCAGTCAACAGTCCGTCTCAAGTATTTAATCATGCGTAGCAATCACGTAATAATAACTGTCATATCTAAGAGTTTACCTAATAGCCAACAAAGGACTTTTAAGTCAAAAAATGTAGAAGAAAGCATGCCGCGCGCTACAGCATCAGAAAGCGGTCCTTTGCCAAGGATAAAAGTCAATAGTGCCGATTGCAACCACAAAGAATACAAAAACAAAGCACGCAAAAAGGAAGATGAGACACCTGAAAGATATGATATACTGCAGGCACGGAAGGCTGGGCGCATTTAACGCCTGACTTGTCAACAGAGGCGCAGCGACACCAGCAACAACAATAAAACAAATAAAGATCCAACGCAAAGGCTGCTGAATCATCGAAGCGCGCGCTGATTAACTGCTACAGAAATCAATAAATACCATTGCAAGAAGCAAGGAAAGTAGAAGAATTAAAACAACAAGAACAGTAGAAACAACCAGAGCAAGGAGAACAACGAGAACAAAAAGGCAAGATTGGTTAGACAGCAGGCCGCAATTGTTTGCACAAAATAATAGAAAATAAAGAGTGCAAAGTAGGAAAAATCATAGAAAGCTGCAGAGCAGTTGGCACAGCTGATGCGAAGTCATCAAAGAGCCGGAAAAAAATAACAAAATAAAAACTGTTTCACTGCAATTCCATTGATCACTGTTTGAAGCGCGTTGGCGGCATGCTTTTGTAGTTGTGTCCAGAGAAGCGCCTGCGCACAGGACAAAATTGACAAACCAAACCAAAAACAAAAGGCAAAAAAAATTGCCAACTAATGCACTACAGTTGCAATAGCAAAGTAACTGTCAAGCAATAACAAAAACAACAAAAGTAAAACTAAGAAAACACCAACAAACACAAACGCAATTGGACAAAAGTATTGCAAGGAAACTCATCTGCCCGGACGAGTAGACGAACAAGTGTGCGTCGGTGTGTGTGTGTGTAAAAGAGTGAATTAGTAACTGTGCAACAGCAGCCGTTTAGCAACACATTATTTGATAAAGTATACACTTTTTATGTCGCCTTTCTGTTCTACCAATCTTTTGGCGCGCAAAATCAGGACAACTTGTCTGCTTCGGCCGAGACAAATAGACGACAGACAGGTTGTCTTGCATTGTTCTGGCTGAATGAATGTTGCACAAGGTGCAACATCGTTACTACAGTTTTGTGTGTTGCAATTCTTTTGTTGTTTTGCATTCGCATTTGCTACACATGTCTCTGTGTGTTGTAGGATTCTATGAAATGTTCGGCTTTGTGTCTATGGCCAGATTTAGTAATTCCAAGAACTGTTTGTTACAAACTAATGACAATTTCGTAATGCTGTGATATATAATTCATTAATTTATTTGGTGTATGCCGTAACAGTAAGGGGACTTCGCAAGAATTTAGAAATTTGAAAAAAGGAAAGTGTGGCAAGGTGTTTTCGGTCTGGCAAGTATTTCAAATCCGCAGGTTTACAGTTTGCTGCTTCCAATATTTTTATAAAAATATGTATACATGTATATATGCGTACATATATATATAAGCTTCAGTACAAGTCAAGTCAGCACTTAAATAGTAAAGAGATCAGATAGCCGGTTAATTTAATTGTATCCTAAATGTAGGCAACACTTCCATAAATATCAAAAATATATTAGCTAATTGCATATAAGTATAAATTAAACGTTACTTTTAATTTGACGCAGTGCGCGAATATACCTACTGTCATTGATGAAGGCGGTATTTACAGTAATATTTATATAATCGTTATTTAGGTTTATTTACTTTAAACTTAAACAACATTTGGTTATATCTTTTTTAACTATAATATGGGGTTGAAAATACTGCTAAATAAATATGAATTCAAGGTTGCCTACATTTTGGCGCAATGCTAGACTCTAAAACGTACCGTGTATATGAGAAGAGTAGATATCATGCAATCGGTATTCAAGTTAAAAGTACCCTATATGTAAGCAATAATTCTGTATGGTATTTCGTTGGACTGAACAAAATTGCATGTTTCATTGTTTATAAGAAAGCGTTAAAGGTTTCCAACTTAAAAATTATATTTTTGAAAAATTATGTGAAACACAATTCCTTTCAGAATAGTATATTTCTGTATCCGCTTTTATTATAATTTTCCTCCGACACACTACAGCATTGAATTTTGTATTATATTTTCGACATATTTCGTTCTTGAACCAATCCCTTCACTCCATAATCCTTACTCCTTTATTCTATCAAAGCCACTTAAACCATATTGTCTACTTCAAACGCTCGCTGCACCATCGCAGAATTGCACCTTTCACTTTCACCTGCGAACACATCCTCTATTTGTGTAGGTGCCATTCATTTTCCCCCCTCCAACACACAAATCACACATCATTCAACCACAACTCAACACTTTACATTCACTATGATGAGCATCACAAAAGCCTTTACTCTGAAGTGTACATGCACTCCTTTGCTTATGCATACAAACATAAATATATATGCGCATGCGCATTTGGCTACTGTAAAGAAAAATCCTTTGAAAATGTAGGTTTGTATGTATGCGTGTGTGCATACGTGCGCACATTTCCTGTCTTCGGCACATTGCAATGCAATGCAATCCTTTTTCCCTGTTTACCACCGCTGATACTTGTATGAATATTGTATTAATTTTTCTTTAAAAGCAAAAAATGTTTACACAAAGACTTCGGAATGCCGCAGAAGACGATTAGTTAAATAAAAACCATATTCTTATATAGTATTTACTATATAGATGAGTGTATGGAATTAGTTACGGATATTGTACAGTCGCTTGTTCTATATTGGCGCAAGAGCAGGTGCTGCTCACGGTAGTGATTTCAAATATTTGCAGAGATTGCAAGGGGTTTAAGCGAAAGTTGTGGGTTTGGTGGCATCATCTATACTCTTACATACACATAAGCATATATTTACAATTGCTAGGTATATGTATTCGAGAGCAATAGCCCGACAGTTGGTTGCAGTTATGGAAATGCGCCACACTTAGTTTCTTCAATATTATCTTCCACAGGAGATATTTCATTTTTTGTTACCATCCAGTACTTTAAGCGACACAACATAACCGAATAAACTAGTTAGTACAAGTCTGACACTCGCTTCTTCGCTATTTCATCTTCCCGAAAAACCGAAACGAAACAAACAAAAATTTTTTTATTGTCTTATTTAATTCTATAACATCTCCAAAATATTGTCCTAAATTCTCAAGTTGATCCCGGTAATAGTCTTGGAGGTACAGTTTTGAAAAGTTGCGCGCTCGAGGTCAGGTAAATAGTTACTCAAAACTTTAAGCGCCTTTTTTTCAAAACTTTGTTTTTGAAGTCGGTTGTCAAGATTACTAGCGAACTACTCAACCAATCTTAATGAAATTCTACACAGGTCTGCAAGATATGCCTTTCTTGAATTCAATTACAATTATCTTTTTTCAATTAAAATTATTTAAAACAAAAAACCGTCGAGAAATTTTCACCAAAATTTGCATTTTTTTTAAACGTCTGCCAAAAATAGAATTTTTACTTTATTTGATTTTTCTTCGTCCAAGACATAGTTGATGCTCTTATCAGTATTATTTTCTTTTGATGATCCTGTCAGAAGTTCTGCTGTACACGCGGAACTGCCGGAAATTTCGTCGCAATGACCGAGTTTTGAATATTTTCCTTTGAAAATTTCTCCAAATTTTTATCAAATATGTATTTTTGGAATAATAAAAAGTTTGAATAAAATATTTCATTTTTTATATGAAAAAAAATTATTGAAAATAGGACGATTTTTGCTCGACGAAACCCATTTAACCCCTTAAGTTGCATTAGACGGTATTTTAAGTCCAAAAGCTGCTATTAAAATGGCTACTCGAATTTGTTCATTTCTAATATTATTAGTATTGTAGTTATGCTGGCGAGTGTAAAATTTCTAAGTTATGATTGTCATAGTGACGATTAAACTAACACGGGATCACTATCTATATTTTTGAAGACGAAAAACATTCCGTCATTCCTTGCCATAGTAATTCAATACTTTAAATATATTCCTAAAACTCGAGACCCGACCGAGGCAAAGTCGAGGAATAAAACTTGTTTAATAGGAGTCATTCTCTCTTTTGGCAAAATTAAGCTTTTGACTGTATTTCTAACGTGATAAATCTAGTCATGAAAATATCCATCATGCTTTGAGAGAGAGACTTATAACTTGTAGAAATGCTCCATTTGTCCGTCTGATGACTCTCGAAAAACTTCGATGAGCTTCGGATGCTTTTAACTGTACTGCGTTGATAACATATTTTTCGCCAATGGTAAGGTGATATTCAACCATCAGTGTATACAAATGTATCGGGATCAAACAAAGTCTACAAAAACTACGAAGTTACGACTGGTTATTGGTAGTAAGTGGATTCCCATGCATCGGTACGTAGACGGTTTCGAATTTAGGAAACCTTTACGAAAATACATGTTTTTCTCAGAGCTCTTGAACGATCTTCATTGATTCTTAAAATTTTCTAAAAATGGAAACTTGATACACATAAAGTTTAGACTCCTGATATGCGTAAAATACTTTTTTAAAACTGTTATGAATAATGATTTGTGTACAATGTAGTATGTATGCGTATGTAATTTCGGTTCGTTAACTTTACTTCTAGATCTCGCCTTAGTCAACTTTCGACTCTACAATGCCGAAGCTTTACTTCTACTTAATATGTGATGCACCGCAGCTTCGCAGTTTTTCGTACAATCCTGTACGATTTTCAAAATCTCCCCATTTTCACACCGCCTTGGATAGCAAAATAAGAAGATATATTATTTATAGTTTTTCTGAGTATTTTATTTAAGTTTAGTGTCCTCCATTTCATAAAAATAACTTAAGATTAGGTAACTTAACAAACTAGTCCAACAGTTTTTATAGTTTTTCCATACAAAAACACTTAATTAATTTTCATTAATTACATAATAATTAGAGTCCAAGCGTTGTAATTTACTGTGGGTTTTTTATAAGAGCTGATTTGGTTGAGTGCTGTCGATGGCTGGTGAAAATGCACCAGTTAAACATAAAAAAACATAATAAAACTATACCAAAATTCTTAAAATTAAATTAAAAATATAAAATGTTCAAGAAAAAACTGAAAACTTAAAATATAATTTTTTCAAAAAACAAACAAAAAGACATTGTCAACCATTAACATAATTTGTTTAATTAAAAAAATAAAATTTACTTTCATTTCCAACTAAAAATTATTTCATTGAAATTTTCAAACGAACAAAAAGGACTAGAACTTAGAAAACGTAAACTCCTGCTGTTACAACCGCTTACAAAGCTGCAACATTAAATTGTTGTAATTTACACTAAAAACTAAAATAAAATAAACCGAGGTACTCTTAATTTAAATACTGAATATGTCAACGCACTGCTTCTGCAACACTACTGGCACTTGGTTTTTCATTCTGCTGCCGCGACACTAGTCTACGCAATTGTAATGGTGCAATTGGAGCTAGTGTGCTTGTTGAGCAGCGACATGCGCGAGAAGGATTTGTGGCAAACCTTGCAGGCGTACTTCTTTACCTCCACATGGGTCTGCTGGTGGGCGCGCAAATTGGAGCGATCAGCAAAGGAGCGCGGACAGTCGCTGCAGTGGAAGGGCTTCTCGCCGGTGTGTGTACGTATGTGACCCTGCAGCAGCCATGGACGCGAAAAGGCCTTGCCGCAGATAGGGCATTTGCAGGGCAAGGTATGTGTGCGTATGTGCATCTTCAAGGCGCCAATGGTAGTGTAGAGCTTGCCACATTCGTGGCACGAATGCTGCTTCTTATCCTGATTGCAATCGGCGGCCGGGCAATGGAATTGCTGATGCTTCGACAAGCCAATGACAGTCGAGTACATTTTATTACATTTGTCGCATTTGTAACGGTAACTGGCCGCCTTGTTGGCGGCGGCAGCGGCTTGTGCCTCGCTATTCGTTGTGCACTTCGCTGGCTTGGCGTTAAAGGTGAAACTGGACAACGGTTCGTTTTGATGATGCATTAACGCTGGCAATGGTATATCATTGCGTAGACTCAGATCCTCTGGCTCGGAGCCTGCTTCCGAGGCGGGACTGGATGGTGGTGTCATTTGCTGATATGAGTACACCGAACGTGGTGAGGTGGCTATCGAGGAGGCTGGCGAGGGAAAGATCGCATTCAGATTGCCACCACTCGATGGCTGGTAGGCGCTCCAAAGTGCTGTCATCGGCGCAGCGCCGCCAGCGGCTAGCATGAAAGCGGATTTGTAGTCCGTCGAGGTTGTGGTATAACCGCTGGTAGCGGCTGTCAAGCCACGCAAATGTATTGCGACCGCTGGTGATGCTTGCTGTTGCAATTGTTGGTTATAGTCTGATTCGTAGTCTGAGGTGTAGGGCTCAACGGGTGACATCAACGCCGAACATCTACCCAACTCGACGGAATGTTGCGAGTTTATCGAGTGTGTTGGCGAGTCGGCACGTTGTTGATAGGCTTTGGTGAACAACGCATTGTACGCATTTGCTTCATAACCGTTCTTTGAGAGATTCAACACATATTCGCGTTTTGCTGGCACGGTATAATCTTCACAATTGTCTGTGGCTTTGCGCTTCAGCGAAAGATCTTGCGGCTGTTCGTCAGCCAACAGCTCGAACTCAGGAACTGGCTGTGGCTTGTGTTTGATCATGCTGGCACTGGCGAAAGCTGCAGCTGCGGCATAATATTGCATGGGATCTCTGACCGTGACTGTGGCTGTTTCTGCTTCGGTTGTATCCTCATAAACGATGGGCCGTTTCTTGAGCGGGCAGCTCTTGTACTTTGTTGTTGTAGTGGCCATTTTTATGTTATTTTCGATTGTTCGTGATTTTTGCAAAACTAATTTCGAACTAAAAATCTTTCTTAAATATAGAATTTATGTTTTTTTTGTGTTATTTTGTCTATCTTAAAGTCTTTTTCACAAACTCTACTGCGCACTTATTTATTTACTGCTTGCTTCTGCTTTTCACTGTAACATTTACATAAAAACACTGTAGATGTCGATCTTTGGCGAGGCTTAGAACTGAATTCTAATTGCGTTTTTCGTTTTTTTTTTTTTTTTGGTGTTCTACACTCTGCGAGCACTGCTGCTGTTATGACAGGTTCGACAACGGGCACGGTCTTTTATACATTATCAGACTCAGTCTCTGTGAACTCAGAGTTTTCGAATTCAACTCAATTGATTGCCACGGCCACGGCCAGCATATATAGTTGTTGGTGGTGGTTCTTCTCTGTTGACCGAAGAAAATACTAAACGAAAACACATTTTACCACACATCCATGCACACACATGCCGCATAAAAACTCCAAATTCACTCGGGTAGTCCCTCAAATGTTTAGTGATTGTTGTTGTTGCTGTCACGGCTGCTGCTGCTGCTACTATTAACAATTCAAAACAATAATAGTTTTGCCTTACCTTCCCCCCGTCATTGCGTATTTTCCATACGCTCAGCTGTAGAAAATGTCGCAGCAGTCGTACCTAGCGTCTTAGCTCGTACTACAACGCACTCATACATAGGCGTTTACACGTGCCCATTCATTGGGAAATTACGTACACACGGAATCCCTTAATGCATGCGTAGTCGTCAGACAGCCAGCATGCTAGCCACCACCGCGTAGACAGCATCGCTTTATAACTTCTGTGTGTGTGTGTGTGTGTGTGTGTGAGGTTGAGCGTTTTACATCAGGCGCGCCAGCTGAGTTTGAGTCATACTTGCCGCACACATATACACACATACATATTGAGTGAAATGCGTTGGTTTACCAACAAGCAACCCTCCGATCTGCACAGCCAATCGGCTAACTATTGCTACCACTTTTGGGAATAGCTCAAAAGATCGCGTGGTGGTTAACGTCGATTGGTAGTGTATGCCAACTGCCTAGCGTATATTCCAAGTTGCTCATGCGTTACCTATATTCATTGCCTGTCTCTGCAGATCACTGATCCTGTCTCACGAAACCTGGAGCCACTCGTAGAATCTAAGTTCACTTAGATCCATCTCTATTACAGTTCCCCAATTACATATTTGAGACCTTTACAGCGATCGTTTGATCGCGTAGTTTACTCATATGTACCACAAATACAGATATAGTACACGCAGCCGGGCTCCAATTTATTACCAACTTATGCAGATCACTGATCCTGTCAATAACTCACGGGAAGTCACTCATTGTCCATACATTTTACACATATACACACACCTGCGCTGCGATCGATAGTGTGGTGTGAAATTTAGGCATTACCGCAACACCTTCTTCGCATTAGTGTTCGCCTGCGCTTATGCCTCCCATGTGTGTCATGCGAACAACTAAGTATCTGCATAAGGATGTATGTATTGTAGATGCGTGCGATCGATCGATTGATCGTCAGATCTCATATTTTTCGTTGGCACATTTCCATCTCCATTAAACACGTTGACTGCTGGCTGTAATAACTTGTCAAAAATGTGTCCCCCGAGTGTGTTGATTGGCGTGAAAGTAGAAAGTGATCCCGCGGCAGCTACTTGGGGCTCCTCAAATAATCGCGGCATCGATTTTCATATGACCAAATTTCAAAATATTCATTTGTTTGTCACTATGAGGGGCCACGATCATTGTGTTTGTTGTTGCATGCAACACATATATGGTATGTTAATATATTTATAAGTGAGAATCCCCCTCGGAGGGTATGTATGTCAATTTCCCACTTCAGAAAAATACTCAAAAAAACCGTTCCACTTCTATTGCGTTCCGCATACTCTTGTAATGAGTTTTCTATTTATTTTCTTCTTACTCACAAACACATATACACGCGCGTTACACAAACACAGCCACTTACACGTATTACATTTACACACACACACTTGCATCTGTTTCGATTTGGGGTTGCTTCCAGTGCTATATGCCCGCTGCTTGCCGCTTCTCATTCCAATTGCTACCTCAGAGTGCTGCACTCATACGATGATGCAACTATCGGTGCAATTGCTTGAGTGATTCCGCGCTGCCCTCGTGTAACAATTCCTTACTGCCGCCGCTTATTGCATTTCCTACGTTATTTTAGTGCAGTCGCTGCACCTCAAAAGTGTTGTCATGCAACATCTGTTTTTAATGAACTGAGCATTTTCATGTTCACGGAAAGTTTTCGAATTCTTGGTGGGAAAGTATGAATGTGCTGTGTGAATATATGTGTGTGTGCGTTAAGTTTTTCTGGAAGTTTGCGTCAATCAACTGCTTTGCGTGCTTTCTTCCAATGCTGTCAATTTTTTTCATTTTCTAAAGGAGTTAAAGATTCTGTATTTCTATGCTCCTAACTTCCGACTTCTAGAAAACAGCACTTGTTTCTTTAACAATTTTGTTGAAGATGTTGCCACATAGAATATTTTCCATAAAATTTGGACAATTCTAGCTACAGCTAGTATTTTTGATAGAGTATGATAGACATTTTTTGGTATAATCCAAAATGCTATCCTTTGCCTAAATGACATTATTCGCCAAAATTTTTAAAATACTACAATAATTGCTGCACCAAATTTTATGAACGTTTTTTTTTAATAATAATATAACTTTTCGTGGTCGCAAATACAGAGAAAAATAATATAAACATAATTTTTTATAAATTAAAAAGTCGGGTTAGTTACACCAATTATAACTCAAGAATGACTCGATTGTTTAAAAAACTACAACTTATATAGAAGAATAACTATTAAAATATTTAAAAAAATTACTTAAAAAATCAAAATGAATATACAAAAATACATCCAAAAGCTTAGATATATAAACAAAAAATATGCTGCGATCTTTTACTTTGTCGGCAAATACTAGTCTAACTAAATCGAAAATTGATTGAGCTTATTCTGCCGATTTACCTGCATACCTTAGTGTTCATATATATACAAGTATATATGTTTTGTAACTGTTCATATTAGGGGGAAACACCCAGTAAAATGTTTTGAAGAATCGATCGATAGATTTTTTCATACTTCAATGATTTATACATTTTAAAAAACATACCTAAATTTCAAAACGATATCTCTAATATTTTTGGAGTTCGGTTCAATCCGGTCCACCACTTTATATCTAAACGGACTTTTCTCCAAACAACATTTTTCGAATTTGCTGCAGTGATAACTCGAAGCCAAATGATCCGAATATTTTTTTCTGTCCCTTCTGTAGATAATTCTAAATACAATGACCGAATCCGTTTTTGGTTTGTTCAAAAATCGATTTTGGCAGCCCAAAAACGTTTTTGGGTAAATTCAACTTGTTTTTTTAAACGCCGCCATTTAGTAAATTTTTGATTTATTTTTTAACGTAGGGATCGTATAACACAAAAAATATTTAATGTTTTTCTTCAAAATTTCACTGTGTCCTCTTGAAATATGTATAAATATACTCTGAAAACTGCAAAACAATTGATACAGTAGATTTTTTTTTTTAATTACCACAAATCAACACATGATTGTATTATTTTTGTTATTCTAAGTTTTTGTTTAACAAACTGCGTGAATACTTATAAATTTATTAATTGATTTTAGTAAAATATATGTATTGTAGAATTGTAGTTATTATATATCGAATGTAGAATGTAGTAGTGTATGTAGAATTGCAGTATATATATATCGTATACCATATACTGACACAATCTTTTTTGTATTAATTTTGTTTATTATTATTATTTATTATAATATATATTTTTATCTAGTACTTATTTCACTTTATACTCTGAATCCCCCAAAAAAACTCTCAATAAGTCTAAGTCCTTAATATTAATATATTCTCCGCTTTTCCATTTCCAATTTAGTACTTATTTTTGGAAAGAAAAGTTCATATTTACGTTTATACTATTTGAAAAACATCTCGTCTCTTATATAGCGTCTACAAATAGGGGTGACGTGATTTTGACAGCTCGTGGCGGCCATATTGGTTTCCGAATTTGTGTCAAATTTTGTCAGTGTGTTCAGTTAGGTTTGCCATTTCATCATGTCACGTTTCACTTTAGAACAGCGTTTGGAAATTACCCAAGATTATTAAGCAAATTTATTTGATCGAAAAATCAACTTCTCAGATGAGCCCCGTTTCTGGTTTAATGGCTTCATCAACATACAAAATTGTTACTATTGGTGTGAGTCAAATCCTCGTATGGTTCAGAAAACGTAATTGCATCCCCAAAACTTGTCCGTTTGGCAGGAAATGCCATCAATAGAGAGCATTATAACACGATGTTGTTTGTCTTCCACGGAATTTGATCAAAATTGACGCGGACGATCCCTACTTCCAACAAGATGATGCGGCACCTCATGTTTTGCGTCTAAGCATAGACACATTGCGTGCAAAGTTTGGCGACTCGTTAATTTCCTTCGATTATGAACACTATTTCAAATCGTAATCAAACTAGTTATAAAATCGGTACTATCTTTCCGAAAAGCCACTAAATACTGACGTGATATTCTAAGAACAACTTCAACGAAGTATATGAGTTCATAAAAAAACAGAACTCTTTGAAAATACACATAGATTGTACCAACAAAATATGTATTTTATGACTTTATTGCTTTTTCATAATTAATTTTAAAGTATTAGTTTCTACTTAATTTTATAGACGTTAAAAATTGTCAAATATGTAAACGCACACCAAAATATTGTTTTCAAAAAGAGCCGTGAATTTTGAAGTTTTGTTCAAAAAAAACTGTAAGGGAAAGCCCAGCCAGAAAACTTTGCATATTATCGTCTATTCTAGACCTAAGATGCAATTTCAAGTGAAAGTCCGAAGTTTCAGAAGAGTCTAATAAAAAAAATAGAAAATTTGTATATGAACAATGCAATTTTGGTCTTAAATTGTGACTTTCTTTAAGTAACTCGAACTATTTCTCCGAAATTGTAGTTGTATTAAATAAAATTTTACCCACATTGAACAAAGACACTGTTCTACTAGAGGGCGTGCTATAATCAAACAAACTTTCCCACTTCCAAGCCTACAAATACCAAACGATGCCACAAGTTGCCAAATGTCAGTCAGTAAAGATTTTCCAAATCGACCAAAAATCCAAGAAATCCATAAAATTTCAATACATACGTACATAACAGCACACGTGAGTCATACACATGTGATACAGCCATACGTGCTGCGCGAAATATGCTTGTACGATCATAATTGCTCAAACATATTGCACTATGACAAAAATGCGGGCAACGCAAAAAAACCGACAGAACGCGAAATTCCAATTCCACACAAGTCATTGCAATAACCAGCCGTCAGCCAGCCGAATCGAACATAAACATTGAAAGCAAGCAACTAACAAGGAAATTTCCTCTGAACCTGGGAAAAAGGAGCGGAGCGCGTGCAGTTAGAATTTCCACATATACACAACAGCGCGCAAGCACCCTTGGCTTGGGCGATGCGCACGAAAACCCGCATTTGAAAGAGGAAAAACCACCGAAGAGCAAAGTACGAAGAGAGCATGCGTGCAAGCATACATGTGCAACAACAAGCGCAAGT